AGAAAAAAAAATTTGCTTTATTGATGTTGAGTTATTAACCGAAACAAAATCATTTGTCATGACACATGTGTAGTTGATAAACTTATTGAATTAACAAGACTTGTTTTAGCCACGGGTACTAAAATGACTTATCGTTAAATTTATAGCTACATATATATATATGCGTGAATGACTTATGGCGAAATGAATGGATTTATAAATCGAATTTATTGCATAATATTGCATTCTCTAGTTATGTAAAAATAAAATGAAATTTCTTTTTTCTCTTGTAATTTGGCATTTATTTCTATTTGTATATATATATATAAAATAAGAATTTATATCGTGGGGGTTCATTTAAATATGGTGAGCGTAAGATAAGAAAATCCCCGTCGCCGCAGGTGGCGAAATAAAATCAACGTTTAGCGCGTTACTGATAATTCACTTTCAGCATCGATTCACTTCGTTTCACATTGTCTGTATATTATGTCTGATGAGTCTCAGGAATGTAAAACAATCTGTGAATTACATATGTAATTCTGTTTGGAAAATAGTATTTCTCTACATTTTAATAGACAATTATTATTGGCTAAATTTTGTTATTTTTAAAAACAAAATGTAAAAAAAAAGTTTTTATAAACAAATTTTTTATACAAAAAAAAAAAAAATTTGTCATTAATAAAAAGTGTGTTGAATTTAACTACACATAATGATTGTGGTTAAATTCGTAGATTTAACTTGACAATCGTAAGGGGGAACTAAATTATATACGACTTGAACTGTATCCAGAATAGATACCAGCGAGTTGCTATTGCGTGACGAGGTAACTTTGTATGAGGATAATAAATATCATTGTAGACTACAGTCTTTACTTGCACCGGCTACTAAACGCCTTCTGTCTCGGGTGTCTGTAAAAAACGACAAGTAAAATAAAAAAAAAAAGAAAATAATGTCTACTATTCCGTTATTCATTGTCTGATTTATTAATTGGCAAAAATTTTTCTACCGGAAAATATTTCCTTTTTTTTTTTGGCGAGATTTTATTAAAAATTTACCGCAAATATGTTTTCAAAACTTTGAGGTTTGAGGCTTTTGAAAACAAGGTGAGACACTCTTTGTCAAACCGGATTGTCCACGTAAAGTTAGAGAATGAGAGATAGACAGTTTAGCAAAATTGCTACTAATTGGAAGTGTCCACGCTGTTGAGCGCGTCAACCTCATATATTCATTTTGCAAACGCTTTTGTGTGCGCTCAATAGCAACGTTATAAAACGTATATATATTGCTTCAACAACAGACTACTATTCGATAGCCAAGAGATAACTGGTTCTTCTTACACACAATGTAATGTGCGTAGGTCTACCATAAATTCTCCCTTGGTAATCGATGCTGTATAGAGATGAGGTTCACGATTGCAACACAAGACATGAGATGACAGAATGCGGAAATCATTAGCACACTATATGTTAAAATATTTTATAAAAGCTGCATCGAGTCAAAAGAAAAAGACAATTTTTCTCTCTCAAACAAGATCAAAACTACTTCGGGAGGAGCAAAAAAATAAAAAAATTTTTTCAAAAATTGTATTTCTAAAATATAAACAAACTGAAGCCTCTTATTGCTTTGAAGTTCAATGAACTATTGCTACCAGTGATTAAAATTACCATTAATTGAAACTGATATTGCTTCTTACTACCATTGTTCTTAACCATTGATTTATTATTTTATTTATTTTTATTTATTTATTTACTACCATTGTTTGAATCTACCAATAATTTTTTTAATTGTTACTACCATTGTTCATTATTTATAACTTTTTATAATTATCATTGTTCGTAACTACCATTGTTCGTAACAATCATCAACCAACTACCATTGTTTCCTACTATCTTAGATTATAATTACCATCAATTCATTGTTTAAACTGTTATTGATTGAACCATTAATTTTAACTACCATTGCTTGCAACCACTATTAATTATGTCAACCATTGAAATTACCACCGACAGTAACTACCATTAAACAAATATGTAACACTGGTATTAACATTCATGAAATTTAACAGTGTGAGAATAATGAAAAATCCGCTCCCGGCTGGGATTCGAACCCCGAATGTGCGAAGAGAAAGACGCCTTACGCACCACGACCACAGACACACGTGATAGCAACTTGACAATAGAACATTCTCTTTCAACTATCTATCAACAACTTTTAACTATTTTCTACCATTACCATTACAGAAAGCTATCATTGAATACAAAACTACTGTAAATAATTTACAGTAATTAAATTTTATTAATTACTATTTTCAGTAATTTTATTAATTGTTAATAAAATTCAGAAAATAATAATTTAATTCCAATTATTGGAGAATTTTGTCTTGAGTAATAATACAAAAAAAAAATTTAATGACGAATTTTCATTAAAAAAAATTATTAAGAAATATAAAACCGTTAACGCAATTCACTGCCAAATAAGGTTATGTGTTTGATGGTGTTTTTTTTTTTTTTTTTTTTTAATGCACTCTATTCGGAGTGAATTGGTTTGGTTGTGTTGTGGCGCGCGCGGCACTCCCTGTCTGTCTGCCTACGCCAGTTATCCTGCACACAAGTCTGTCACATGATATTATGTGCACATGGCGGTGTATCACAGACTACCTGACAGATCGAGTCCGAGTCTCTCTCTCTCTCTCTCTCTCTCTCTCTCTCTCTCTCTCTCTCTCTCTCTCTCTCTCTTTCTGTACAGTGCGCTTTAGGTGTGGCACGAGTGCATACACACCCTACAAGCACGTACTTAACAAGCTCTCTGGACTCTCCTCGCAAACGACTCTAAGGTCAGAGACCTCTCTTCCCATCACGACACAACTCGTCTGGACTCCCGCGCGCGAGAGAAAGAGAGAGAGAGAGAGAGATCGATGAGCCCATGCCAATTCGACCTCATTTTCCATTACATGTTCCATCGATCCTCGCAAAAGTCTTCGGATCAATTAATATTCTTTAACAATGTGAAATTAAAAAAATAAATAAAAAAATCTTCCCTCCAAAAAAGTATTTTTTTTTTACCTTTTTCCAATGTTACAAGAAAAAATTACGCGGGTTAATTCAATTACAAACCGTTTAATTAATAAAAAAAAAATGGACACTACAAATCCAATAATTGTAAGTTAAAAAATAATAATTAAAAAATCAGAATACACTCAAACCTCGCTTGATGAGACACCCTCGATCAAGTGTCCCACTAATCGAGATTCGACTGTACACAAATATTTAAATTGTACACTGAAAAAAAAAATTATTCAATTCAAATAATTGCAAATTAATATTTATTTGTAACAAATAATTGTTTGTATGAAACAAAAATTTGTTACGAAAAAAAAAATAATTCAATTTTAATTAATAAAAGTGATTTAATTTTCCAGTACTGTTCTGAAGAAAAAGAATCTCGAGGTAGGGGGATAAAAAGAAACTATTTTGGTTTCTTGATTACGAGAATGAAAGAAGTAACCTTTCGCAAATTACGTCAGCGCTCGTATTTAATGAACAGGCTTATTACAGCGCGGCATCTTGGCTTTTATAATTCTGACACACGATATCCTTATTTCTTTCCTTTTTTTTTTTTAATGCACGCTATATGCTAATTACATAAATATCGTGGTCAAAGTAATTCGATTCAGAATCGAGCGGGACACGTGTAATCTTTACGTCCCATTTTGGCCTCCTCGTAAATCAGTAAACGATCAACGAAGAGATCGTTTCGCAACACCCACGTCAAAAAAAAAAAAAAAAAAAAAAAAAAAAAAAATACGATGAGAATAATGGTAGTTGTTGTTGTTGTATATATCTATAGGCAAGCGATACTGGATTAAATATTTAGGTATATAACATCATGCCAGTAAAGAAAAAAAAAATCTAAAAAAAATGTCCTTCGACAACGGTTTTATTCTTTATAGCAAAAAAAAAGGGACGCCTATGGCGAAGAGAGAGAGAGACTTTGGAAAAAATTGATAAATATTTAAATTTATATAGAAGACAGTCGCGCTTCTTTACATAAATTTACGAGAGTTTAGTAGCGAGATAAAAGAAAAAAAAAGGTTTGATCATTTAAATACAATTTTAGAGAATTTTTTTTGCTAAAAAAAATTTTTTGCGAAAAAAAAAAATTGTTAATTGAATAATTTCTGAATTGGAAAAAAAAATTTATACTGAATATATAAATATTGTCATGAAAAACAAGTGGTTGTTTTTTCAGAATAATAATAATTGTAAATAGAATATATGATAATATTATACTGAGAAAAAAAATTTAGTGTTTGCAACAAAATTGTTTGGTTAGGCAATTATGGTTCTTGTAACCAATTTTTGGTTGGCTGAAAGAAAGTCGTAGAGTTATCTCAACCAAACATTTGGTTAGGCTAACAAAATTATTTTGTTGAACATTTTTAAATTTCAACCAAAATTTGGTTACAACAAAATAATTTGGTTAATACAACAAAATAGTTTGGTCTAAAAAATCAAATGATCGTTTGTTGTCCTAACCAAAATTTGGTTGCGACAACCAAATAATTTGATACGCTCTCAGCTTATAGCTTAAGAGAACAATTAGTTATAGTTATATAAGGTAGAATAAAATTTTTAATTTTACGAAAAAAACTGTTGGTTTGATCGCAACCAAACATTTTCAGTATGCCAACAAAAAACACTCAACCAAATTTTTTGGTTGACTCAAAAAAATAGTTTGGTTGACTCAAAAAAATAGTTTGGTTGACTCAAACAAATAGTTTGGTTGCTTAAATACCAACAAAAATTTTTTGTTACTCCAACCAAATTTTGGTTGCTCTGATTAAACATTTTTCTCAGTGTATGGGAAAAAAAAATTAGTCAAACCTCGATCAATGAGACGCCCTTGGTCAAGTGTCTCACTAATGAAGGTTCGAGTGTACACAAATATTTAATAACTTTTTTGAAATATTTGCTATATTTAGTGAAATAATTGATTATTTGTATCAAATAATTTTTTTTTTTCAGTGATAAAAATTAAAAATATCCAAAATGAAATAATACATTACGCTTTCGTATAACAATTGCCTCGAATGAATAGTCTCACCTGCAACAAAAAAGAAACGAAAATTCATTAATTACAATATATATATATTTTTCAATAATTGGTATGTAGATGAAATTTTGTTTCATTTTTTTTTTCTCAAAGGGACATTAATCCATATGATGGAGGTGGTACTTTTGCAATCGTGAATGTCGGACACGAAAATTTTACATCGGCGCCTTTTTTTGTGGCAAAGGGAATATTGGTCAATCTCACATACATATATTTTTTTTTTTTGGTAATAAGTCGGCAAAAAGCTCGTATTTTTCGCCGCTACTACTTATATACAATGTAGGCCTCTTTCTCTCTCTCTCTCTTCAATGTGTATTATAACGGTCGAACGATAAACGGCAGATATTTATAGCCGCAAACGGGTTAATGCCTCGGCCCCGCTCTCAGCCGTGCAACACGTGTCGGAAGTGCAAATCGCTCGTTCAAGAAATCATTCGAGCAGAGAGCAAAAAAAAAAAAAATAAAAATTCACGAGAGACACTCTCTCTCAATAGAGAAAGAGAGGAGATATCTGTTTCAAATGCAGGATCAAAAACTGATAAGGCTCGTGCCTCTTTTCGACAAAGAGATTAATCTCGAAAAATTTTCCTGCATCCCGTCAGAATTCCATTTTTAAATGTGCATTTACAATTTATTCCTTTTTTCTCTCTCTCTTTTTGTAAACAATTTATTCATGAGGAATAAAAAAAGAAAAATAATTTTAAAAAAGGGATTAAAAATTAAAACACAATTTTAATTAGTCTTGATAATAATTATTTTTAATACTAGTATTATTCTTAATAATTATTAGTTTCAGTAGTAGTATATTATTTTAAAATATTTTTTTATAATAAAAACAATTTACAATTAACGATTACATAAAATTTTAACAGTTGTTTAATTAAAAAAAAATAATAATAATAATCATGTAATTTTATACAAAATCATTTTTATTCTCCTAGCGAAAGAATATATTTATAAGAAAACAAAGAGTCTTTGAAACTGTGCCAAAAGTTATCAAATCGATTTAAAATGAGAACATATAATATATATATATACGTATAGAGGCAAGTTACACGTGTCACTAAAAATAATTCAAATCACGTACATATGAAACTTGCGAGGAGACTTTCAAAATGGAATTATTAGGCACAACAAGAATCTAACTTGGCTCACTTTCCACGAACTGTAATTATTCTGAGACACACATATATCTATATATAGTGTATAAAACAAGAGAATTGTTCACGATCTGTGATTTATGCTTGAGATATTCTCTTCTCCAAGTGCAATGCACTTTAATACAAGAGTATATTAAAATTGTCACAAATTATATTAAAACAAATAGGAGAAATAACAACTTCAAGGGGAAAATTATCTGTGAACTCTCTAGAGAATTTTTATTTTATTTTATTTTTTTATATTGTATATGAAACTTTAGGTTTCTAATAACTGTATATTTGATAATTTTTATTATCATCATACAATTGTCACATCAATTAAAATTTTAATAAAATAATTGATAATTAAAATTATATAATAAGATAATGAATAAATCTAATTTCAATAAAAATTAATATGATTATTATTACCTATTAATAATTACAATAATTATTTTTTTCATTAAAATAAAAATTATTAACATAATTATTAATTATAGTAAAAGTAATAGTAGCAATGAATGTTTAATAAAAAGAATATAAAATAAATTGATCAGTGAATTTATTATAAAGCGTTTACGATAATGGTATGGTGATTAGCTCTTCAATTAACATGAATTGAAAGCTACTGAAAAGGGACAGACGAAAAAAAAAAATTGAGATAAAAGCCGCAGGTGCATTAGAGAGAGGCATGTTGTTAATAAATAATGGGCGTAAATTTTCAAATGATTGCACCCTGAAATTGCAAATTGTAGTTTGTTGCATGTAAATTTCCAATTTCTGTACATGCATTTTCAGATTAGACGATAAGATGATCTTAAACATTATATACTCGTTGCAAAGCACCCGTCACGGTTGCACAAAGAGTCCTGATTGCCTTTGAAGATGATTTACTGCGTCAGTATTTTGCAGTCTCTCAAATTTGTTATTGCCATTCCTTAACAATTCACTTCAATTAATAATGGAAGTTAAAATTAAAAATCAGTAACAAAAATCGATAAGTAATAAATTACAATTATTTTTTTTTTAATTTATTTACAAAAATAAATGAATTTTTTTTTAATTTGAAAATTTCTCCTCGCTTTTTTAGAATTTAAATTACTGTCAAAATTAGTTTTAAAAAAAATTTAATAGCAAAAAGTCAGTTACTAATATTCAAGTAGTAAAATTTGTACTAATATTTTAGTTAAAAATAACTTTTAGTTAAATTCACCTTTAGATTATGCTAAAATAGCAACTAGCAACTAAAAGTTAACTACTTCAAATTAGTCTTTGACTATTTTTTAAAAGTTATTTTTCCACTGAAAATTAGTTATTTTTTTACTAATTGATGAAGCAAAAATTCTGCCAAGATTAATTACTTTTTACTATAATAAAATTAATTATTTTTTTTTACTAATTTCCGCTCTCTAAATCTGAATTAGTAAAATTTTTAACTAATTTGAATTAGTATCATTTCATTTGAATTATTTGAATTACTAATTCAGATTTAAAGAGCAGCAATTACACGGAGAAAAATGGAAAAACGAATAAAGTAACTTTTACTACTTTAAAAGTAAAATTGGACCTGTCCGAAGTTTCTGCGCATCTCTGGCAACTTTTACTCGAAAAATAGTAAAATTGACTATTTCTGTAGTAAATTTTACTGTTTCCGTAGTAATTTTTACTATTTCTGAAGTAAATTTTACTATTTTTGGAGTAAAAGTTGCCAGAGATGCGCAGAAACTTCGGACAGGTCCAATTTTACTTTTAAAGTAGTAAAAGTTACTTTTTCTTTTTTTCCGTGTAGTAAAGAAAAAAAAATTATTATTAGTAAAAAGTAACTAATGTTTGCTAAATTTTTGCTTCAGCAATTAGGAAAAAAATAACGAATTGTTCGTAAAATCTGGACTGATTTTTTTGCTTCTGCATTTAGTAAAAAAAAAAAATTATTAATAAAAAGTAACTAATAGTGGCTAAAGCAAAAAAGCAGTCAAGATTTTTACTAAAAATGAGTAATTTTCAACTTAATTCAAATTAAAAGATCATAAAATAAAATCCTACTGGAAATACGAATTAAAAAAAAAAAAAAAAAAGTACAAAGAACCGGATATTAAATCATCAGCATGAAAATTTGTAAAATTAAAATTTTCCCGCAAAAGATTATCACTTTCTATCTATCATCATATTGTTTTCATATATATATATATATATATATATATATATATATATATATATATATATACTCTCTAAATTTGAATCAGCGATAAGTATACCACTGGTACCAATCAGCGGATATACGCTGAAAAATCAGTGAAATTCCACTAATTCATCAGTGCATATAAGCTGATTAGAATCAGTGGTATACTTATAGCTGAGAATCAGCGAGATTCCGCTGATTCAAATTTAGAGAGTATATAATAAAAGACGTTGTTATTACAAGGTTATCAGGTCTCAGGAAGTCGCGCAAACGAAGAGAAACGAGCGCTGTAAAAGAAGGACGAAGTCGACGCGTGTAAAAGGGAAACAGGATGACCCCCTCTATATATATATATATATGTATAGTCTATAAAAAGAGGGCTAGAATGAAGAAAGGCAAAAGCAGGAAGAAAAGAAAGGAAGGGAGAAATAGGTGCCATTTGTGTAATCCCACTGCTGCCAGTAATTAGCGATATTTGCATATCTCGCGCGTTTGACGAAGCGGAGGTGAAGCTATTTACATGCGAATGGCCCTTTTGACCCTGGAAAAAAAAATGACGATCTGCTCGTAAATATAAAGTGTTTACTGTTTGCGTCTCACCCCCTCCCCCACCCCTCTCTATTGTACAACAAGAAGGGAAAACCAAAAGAAACAAAAGGGCGTTATCATTAAGTACACTTGGCTTTCTAATATAATAAATTTTCATCAAAGAAAATTTCAAGTAAAATTTATTTGAAAAAATGGTTATTTAAAAAAAAAAGGATTTTGAAACAAATTAACTGATATTTTAAAAATATTTTAATTTTCTTATTCTGGTTCATTAATTACTAATTAGTAATTAGTAATTTTAAGACACTTATTATAATTTTTAAGATTTTTTATTTAAATTTTTTTTACATTTGTAATATAAGATAATTTTAAGACGTTTCTTAAATGTTCCAAAAAAAAACCGTTTGCAATGTGATCTTGAAAAAAGAAATAAAATGAAAAACAAGTTTTTTTTTTCTATGTGAGGTTTGGATTTAAAAATAAATTTCAAAAATGTCAAAAGTTTTTTTTACTTTCACTCTCTCTTTTGGAAATGAAGAAACAAGGATAATAGCTTTAATACACCTAGTTGCAACTTTCGAGTAATAAAAAGAAAATCTCAACCCTTTCGCTAAGAACTTGCACCCTTTTTTTTCCTTTCTAAGAACCTTAATCTTTTTTAACACTGTCATAAATCTCAAAAAGGAGAATAATGTTAACAACTCGTCCAACAAGTTTCACAATTTAAGGTCGGTAAATTATATTTTTTGTCCCCAAACTTTTTTTTTATGTTACGACAATTTTTTCCGAATTATTATTATTATTTTTTACTGAATTATTTACTTATAATACATTAAATTAAATTAATTATTAGTATTATTATTAATTAGTTAATAATTAATTAATTATTAAATTTAATAAATAAAAGTTAATTTTCAATTGTCTTTATTTGCGGACAAGTTAATATTTCCTCAATTGGGAATCTTGACGCGCCCATTGCCAGAAAGAGAAATAATTGTCTGTCTCTTGGAATATTGCCGCCGCACCCCCACCCACACTTCTAACACAGAAAATCGTATTCTACAATGACGATATTTTGCATAATTCCTGAGCCAAGCAATTCGCACGCTTTATCGTTCATTCGT